CGTGTTGACATGACCCCCCAAAATCCTGTGGACACCGCACTCAGAGAATCTTTTTTATTTATTTATTTTTCCATTTGGCCCTGCGATGGACTGGCGACCTGTCCAGGGTGTATCCTGCCTTCCGCCCAATGACAGCTGGGATAGGCTCCAGCACCCCACCGCGACCCAGAAGGATAAGCGGTTTAGATGATGTGTGTGTGTGTGTGTTTGTGTATTTTTCCATTTGCTTAGATGGTTTTAAGAGACTTGTTTCTTATTTTATGCTTACATAGTTAATTTATGTGAATTATGTTAAAAAGTTAATCTACCATGTTCTTTAGTGTTCTTCTCCTTGTTGTTCCTAAATGTTAGTGATTCAATAAAACCCATAATTTTTTTTCCCTATTTTTTCTTATTCACCCCCAAAGCTCCAAAAAAACTCAAAACAAAAAAAAAAAAAATGAGGTATGAAATGAACCACGGCTCAAATGTCGATGTTTGAACCGAACCATGGATTTGGAGAATCGTTACATCCCTACTAATTAGCTAACTAAACAGACACTGATACCATCCATTTTTTGAGAAGTCTAAGCATAACGTTCATAAACCTTATGAATAACTGCTTTGTCTAGCTTCAGGTTCAGAATGAGAACTGTGGTGCATTACCCTTCTTCTTTGTAATGCTAGCTGTGTAGTCCTTGCTAACAAGCTAGCACAGTGCTGAAATTACATCAGCAGTCATGAATAACAGATGGAGTAGGATGCAACATAAAGCCCAGTTTAAACACAGCCAAAGCTTATAGTTCTGAAATATTAAAAAGACACTCTGGCACCACAATTAAAAAAAGTAACCACTGGGACGTTTATGTGGTGCAGAAGTCGGCTCTGGAATGGGATTTTCTGGTTTCTGATGATGCATCTTGAAGGCGGGAGACATTTTTGAAAAACCTCAACTGTTTTGGGGGGCTTTTTGGGAGCAGGCAGTTTTGAATTACTGTTTTTTTCATTAGCTGTGGAAAGCAGATAATAGCCAGACGAATAAAGATAGAATATCTGTTTTCTTCATGATTTTTGTTTGACAAGTTGATGCTACACTAATGCTACACTGGTTGAACTTCTTAGCCTGAAAATTAGTTGCTAGGCTAGCACACCAGATTGGTTGACATCACAGGGATTTCCAATGGTTTTATGATGTACAGGGTGTCCCAAAAAAATTGACATAATTTCGTAGTCTAATAACAGCCAATTGTCCCTCAAATGATCTCAAATTTTAACAAAATGTGTAAAAACTAAGTTTCATTTTTAATGTTTTGTTTTTCAGGTTGAAGAATGGCGTTCACTAGAACTGAAAAGGCATTTTGTGTGTTAGAATATGCTCAAACACAGTCAAACAGAAGTGTGCAGCGAGCATTTTCAAGAAAATTCAATAAAAATGCACCAACTGGAAAGCAGATTTGGACACGGCACAAAAAATTCAAAGAGGAAGGCTGTCTGTGCAGGACAAAGGGGTCTGGACGACCACCAGTATCGGAAAATATTACATTAGTGAAGCTTTGTGAAGTCGGTTATAAAATCTACATCCCTCTGAATTTCTTGTTTGAATTTTGATAAATAAATCTTGTATTGCCAGGACATGTAGTTACTCAGATATTCACATCTCAAATGATGTCAGTTTTTTTGGGACACCCTGTATTTATGTAATCTGGATGTTGTAGTGAGCAGTCGTTGATGAATGGAGGCATAAACACACTATAAAATCATGAGTTTTGTTAACCTGATAAGGCTGAGGGATACAATGCTGTGTATACTATATAACATGACAGATAACGTTAAATTCAGTATAACATATTGAAGTATTTTAAAGTGTTTTAATTGCCCTGGCATGGAAATTCTAATTACAATGACTTCTAGGGGCTTGCAAAAAAAGTATTGACATCTGGTCTCTCTTAGCCATTTTATTTCGGTTATGCCTGCCATAGCACCCCCTTGCTGTAGCGCTCAGACTGCAGCTGCGTTATCAGTTCTCAGGTGACACACTTCAATGCAACAATGCGTAAAATAAATTCTGTGCAGCTCAAAGCATTCGCATATTCATGTGCTGTACATTTCTGGCCTACGAAAGCATTTGATGCGAGAACCGAAGCTCTCAACACAGGTATAAGCGCCAGAGTACGGTCAGATCTGGTCAGAGCGGCCACAGAGTGGCCTTCCTTGAGAGGCTGGAGGCCCGTCCTGACTTCTCTTCAGCCGGCCAGTGACAAAGTGCTCTGAGGGGAAGCTAATAATGCGGATGTCACAACCGCTCTCTCCGCGAGGCCTCGCAAATGCGGAGTTTAGTTGGGAGACAGCAGAGGACACGGACAACACATGTCCCAAAGACTGGCTCACTCTGGGAGACGTGCACACAAAAGAATGCAATTAACTGCATCTAATGGACTGCATAATATGTTGTAATTACTTTTCGATTTTGACGTGTGATATAAAAAACACGAGCGGTTCTTTCTCATCCCTTCTCCATACCTCAAACAGGCTGTGAGACTTTACTGTACTGAGACCGCTTAAGGAGGGGGAGATTTAGTTGCTATGGAAACTGATTCACAATGGGGAGAACAGAGTGCTGACTAACTGTACATAATTCTGTGTGTTTTTTTTTTTTTATTCCTTTTTTACCCACAAATCCGCTCACTTTCTGTGGGTGGAATATTCTGATTGCTCGCTGCGGTATACGCACCGTTCATGTGGAAGACCTGTCAGCATACACGACCGTGTAGAGACGCCGTTGCAGCATAAGTCTCTGTGTCTGTGTATGCGTAGGTGTTTGTTGGTGTCAGTTCGGCTCGGTATGTTTTGTATAGATCTATTTTTCATGCCGCTTTGCTTGTCTGGTGTTTTCGTGCAGGTCAGTGCGCTCGGAGCCCGAGTTACAAAAAGGCATAGGTGAGCTGAGATTTGATTGACAGGTGGACTGCACTCTCAGCATGTTCGACTTTTGAGATACAGGATGCTGAACAAAAGGCTCCTTCATGTTTCACACGTCTTACATAACAAGGCTGTTCATCTCTCTCTCTCGCTCTCTCTCTCCCTCTCTGTGTTCTGCTAGACACTGACATCCGCAACTCCTTTACAGGATAAACAGTAAATGGGTGCCAGCGAACGAGCACCTACGCCCACTGATCACTCACTGCAGCATGGATCTGGTAGACCTCGGTACACCGCGATATACCCACTAAACACTTTCTAACAAACCCAAAACACTAACACAGGTTCAGGAGTACCTCGGTCCTGCATATTTGGCAGTACAAGACCAGGGTTGGGTTATCTTCTGGCTAACTCTAGAACATCTACAGAAACACTAACCTGATTAAAGCAACAGTTTGGCCAAAAATTCAATTAACAGTATTTTCCCGTTACCCCAGATGTAATCAATCAGTCATAACATGTTTGCTGTCCAAATTTTGCTTCTTTAGTGAACACCGGCGCTATGAGATTAGAATTGCTAGCAAAACTTGAAGTCAGTAGTCACCCGAATCTTTTGCATGAATACATCCTCAAAATCTCTCTCCAACTGCTTAGACTGCATCCAGGTTTTCATTAAGGCCAGCTGTCAGTGGGACGCAGTATATATTGTGAACTATGAAAATAAACAAAACTGAACAAAAGCTGAACGCAGCCATTTTAGACAACAGGTACTGAGTGGAATCCTGACTTTCTTTGCAAGCATGCACGTCATGGAGGCATGTGGATTATGTTGACTGTTGTTTGTGTTCACAAGTAACTCAATCTCAAATTTTCAAACTGAAGATATATGTTTAAAAAAGGAAACAACATAAATTGCAAATTCTGATTAGGCACAACACAGTTAAGAGACGTTTTGGGGATGTATTTGTGGAAAAGATTTGGATGACTATTGACTTCTAGAGTTTGCTAACATTCGGTGCGTTTACATGCACTCAATAGTTTGATCATAATCGTATTTCTGCTGTTGTCTGATTATTCAAATGGTCACATAAACAGCATACTCCGATCTAGAAATCTGATTAAGAAATCTGGTAAAGAGAGCTGGATTTTAGCTCAGTAATCAGATTTCTCAGTGCGTGTGAACTCTTACTCTGATTTCTTTCAGATTTCTCAGTCTGGGCATGAGAGAAAACAGATGGCGGGACTAGAAATAAGAAAGCAGCGTCGCCGCGGGACGCAGCAAAACACTTTTGGAGCGACACTAAAACCAACTACATGCTTGACAAAATGAAGGATTTAAATATCTTTAAAGTTTAAGTTTACGTTACATTTATGACCCGTTTTTTTTTGTCACGAGTTTATTGGCTGGTAGCAAAGCAGAAACCCGATTACTGTAAACCTCATGTTTCCCCATTATCTGATTACTCAAGTGCATATAAATGCGTTGATCAGATTAGTGATAAAATCTGATTTTCTGCAGTTATCTGATTATTAAGTGCATGTAAACACACTCAGTGTTAGCCTCATAGCTCCAAGGCTAATCTAAGGGAGAGTAATTTGGACACAAAACATGTTTTGGCTGATCGACTACATCTGGGGCAACTGGAAAATTGTATGCATTTGATTTTATGCCTAACTGTTCCTGTAAATATCCCACGTAGCTATTTAAAATTGGGCTACAAGTATTAGTTGATGAAGTTGTTTTACTTGAAAACAACAGTGTGCTATAACGTATGTTCAGAGGATATGCTGTCATTCTGATAGATTGCAATAAACTACAGGAAGTGTTGAGGGTGATATGGCTTCTGTTGTTTCACTGAACCTTAAAAGACGGAATTGGGTGGATTTTAGACACTGTTAGGCCATTAAGCATAATCAGTTAATCAACCTAATCATAGTCAATAGCTTAATTAGAGAATTAATCAGTAGTTGCAGCTCTAATTTCAGTTGTAGTAACACTTAATAAAACAGCCAGAACAAAACACAGATCTCATGCGCTTAAGACTGGTAATACTGTGATTTCCATTTCGTGACTGTACTTGTTTTGGAGAAAAAAGTCTCACCAGTGGTCTCCACGATGCCTTCCAGGATCACGACAATCTCAAACTGCTCAGTCTGCATGGACCTGAGTGAGAGGTCGTAGAACGGGCTCTTGGAGTCGATCACATGGCAAATGGTCAGAGGAGACACTAGGAAGAGCTGGTCTGCTCCTGTGCTGAAGCCAACGTCCAGCTCCAGCTGGTCCAAAGGGAGGAACTCGCCCTCGGGAGTCTGCCGAGACTACAGGTAGAGAAAGAGAGAGAGAGAAAAGAGAAGAGAGAGAGAGAGCAGTGACAGTGATAGACAGAGTGAGAAAAGGCCACTGGGTGGGGGGGTGAGCTCTTGATGTGATGATTCTGCCATGGATCACTGACCCAAAGGGAAAATTTCATCTCCACATTAAGTGAATCAATAACATGACCGTAGTGCTCTGCTGGAAATCAAATGTCATGGCTTCATCACTTAAATTCATTTCCAGGCTATTTACTCAGGGGCAGAGGCAGGCGTTTGACCACGGCCTTTCATTCGGTACAGGCCTGAGGTCATCAACTTGCTACAAAAAAGAAGGCATCTCCAGTGCTGAAGTCACTCTTACAGTGCAGAATTAACTCCTACCAGTGTTGAATTCACTCTTACAGTGTCCATTTCTTTCCTGCTGGACATTTATAAACAAAAAACAGGGGATGCATTCTTATTTTGCTGAGCAGTACTATATTATATTACATTAAAACTTGTTACATTATGATTTATTTACAATCAAGACAATAAAAAAACAACATTCTCACTTTGAGAAGTTTGCAGCGGATCTGTGCCGACACCATGTGACTGTTCCTCAGGTTGCCCACCCGGAACATGAGGGTCAGCTTGCCGTCCCGCATGGAGATGGCGGCGTGCTCGCTGAACATAAGCGTCTCGGCACGCTTCTTGGGCTGCGACATCTTGATGAACATGCAGCCGATGAGGAAGGCGTCCACGATAGACCCCAGGATGGACTGGAAGAGGAAGAGGATGATGCCCTCGGGGCACTTGTCCGTGATGTAGCGGTAGCCGTAGCCGATGGTGGCCTCGGTCTCGATGAAGAAGAGGAAGGCCGAGGGGAAGTTGTAGACGTTGGCCACGCACGGCGTGTACTTGTCGTCGTGCGCCTGGTCCAGGTCGCCGCGGATGAAGGCGATCACCCACCACATGGAGGCCATGAAGAGCCAGGCCACCGTGTAGGTGAGGATGAAGATGAAGAGGTTCCAGCGCCACTTGAGGTCCACCAGCGTGGTGAAGAGGTCGGACAGGTAACGGCTGGTCTCGCTGCCCAGGTTGCCGTGCTGCACGTTGCAGCGGCCGTTCTTGTCCACGAAGCGCTGCCGCTTTCTTCTTCTTCTCGGCTGCCGCCGGGTTGAAGCCGGTGCCGCTTGAGGACGTGGTCACCACCTGGTAGTCATCCCCGAACTTCTTCCGCAGCGCCGACATCGCGACGAGCTTGAGACGGAACGTATCGGACACTCTCGTTTTGTAGGTTTGTAATGCAATTCCTTTTGTCCAAGTTTACTCAGATCTCACGGACGGATGTCCTCCCGTCCCGCATTTCGGAAGCAAGTCCAGGTACGTGTACGTGAACAGTTGTGCGTACCGTAACGTTTACGGGCTTCCCTCGTTTCGTAGGCAGTCCCTTTCAAAGTTTACTCAGATCTCGTGGACAAATGCCCTCCCGTCCCGCATTCCGGAAGCAAAGTCAGGTATGTGAACGTGAACGTGTACGTGTACAGGTGCGCGTACGTCTACGTGTACGTGTACGCTCCCTCCCGCGCGCCTCACGACTTGCTCGAGCGTCTCTCATGGGATTCTCGGCTCCCGAATCCCATGCCACGCGTCCACAGACCCGTCAGAAAACGTCCGCACGCCCGTAAAACGTTTACAAATCCGTGGTTTCCCGCAAGCAGCTCTTGAGAACCTCGCTTGTTTTTCTCTCCGCGCGGAGCCGGTGAGCTCGACGCTTTTGGAAAACGGTCCCTCCAACTTTTGCTCACGGCGTGCGGCGGAGCATCAGCGCGCGTCGGTGTGCTGGAGCTCCTACCTCCGCCGCGCTCCCTCTACTTACAGCTCCTGCGCAGTGCACGCCTCCTCCCCCCCCCACCTCTCTCTCTCTCTCTCTCTCTCTCTCTCTCTCTCTCTCTCTCACAAACTCGCTCTCCTGCGCGGTTGAGCCATGAGAAACTTCTCGGAGCGGGAGGTGGGGGATGGAGCGGGGTGTGGGGGGGCGTGCGTCCTTGATGATGACGGTGATGATGGTGCTACTCACTTTTCTTCCTTTCATAACAGTGGTCAGCTTGAATGCCCCCCCCCACACTCTTTTTGCCATTTCATTTGCAGGTACCAAGAAGAAGCATCAACTGCATCACGCTTGTGGGAGATAAAAGATATGTCCAGCTGTGGAGAGGATGGAGTGGGCTAGCGTCTTACTGCTCAGTCCTCTGGACTGATTGATGGCAGATTAGACCCAGAGACAAGCATCAAGACTTTTCACCACTGATAGTTTATCGAGATAGATGAGAATCCAGCCAAACGTCAGAATGACTGATGAGGACGATGAGCGTGATTAATGTAATGTCCCATTTGTGTCCACAAAGCACAATAACATCCATCATAAGGCAACTTGGACTGGCAGGGTATTTGTATCCGGAGCCATCCGTGACACCGTGTCTGATGACATTAGCTTATCACATATTTCCTGACAATATCTCTGTATAAGCACTTCTCCGTGCGTGTATGTGTGCTCTCCACTGTGAGCCCGAGGGCAGCAAAAAAGATAAGAATACCATTAGCGTGTTATTTTAGAGGCATTTAAAAAGGCCTGCTTTCTATAAAAGGGCTGCTTGTGCAGCTCTGTAGGTGTTAGTGCTATCCGCAGCGACGAGCTGCGCCGGAGTGCGCTCAGATATCACCATCTTCTGCCGTCATACATCACCCACCACTATTCTCTCACCCACCCTCTCCCAGCCTCCTCACAGTTCTTTCATAGCTCCTTGAGCTCACTGTTCAAACCACAATGGAGTGTATATAAGTCAATACTCAAAATAAAGGTGCCACAAGAAGAACCATGCTTGGTTCCCTGAAGAACCATGTTTGAAAATGAGATATGAGTGTGAGGATCCTTTTAAAGGTTTAAAGAACCTTCACATGAGGTTCTTTAAATCTTCGAGGGGTTCTTCATAATTGCATCTTTAGAGGTTTTAGAGGACCTTTACACAATTTCTCCCCAGTTTAGTAGTGGGCAGTTTCACTCACTAGTTAGGTCGACTCCTATCACACAATCCTACCAAGATGGGAGGGCGTGAAGGCTTGCACCCTTCCTCTAATACATGCGAAGCCAGCCAGTGCATCTTTTCAAAGTGCTGCTAATGCAACATCAGCTCAACACGCTTGGAGAAGAACATTAACTGCCAATTCTGTTACGTCAGCTAAGAGAGACCTGTGTTGCCTAAAAAAGATGTATCTTCACAGGTTCTTCTATTATTACAAGCTTGACATTGTAACAATAGAAGGACCTTTGAAGATCAATCTTTTTGGTGCTATATAGAACAATTTTCATAAATGTTCTATATAGAACCATATATAACACACTCTCCATCAATATGAAGAACTCAATGGTCACCATTCAGAATGTAAACAGCACCTAGAGAAATTAATCAAGTGGTCTTTTTTCCACGTCAGCTTGCTAAATTCTTTCCAAAGGATAACATCTTTCTCATTAGTCTAAACATGTTTAGCCGCACCACCGTGCAGAAGAACGTCAAATTTTTATGCAAGTTTGGTTGTATTAACACTGTGCATGCACAAAATTATGTGCATGCAAGTTTAAGCTTAATACGTCAACTTTTGACAGCGTCAGCTATTTTTGTTACCATGGATGGCTGTTTCATCGCTGGGTACTGAACTCGCAGTCACTTGAATAGTAGCCACCCAGAAGCTCAGAAATGGTTCTCCATGGTATTCTATTGGAAAGTTTTATAGGTAATCCAAATGTGGTTCTTTAGTGGCGTCATGCAAAGAACCCTTTTTGGCACCTTTATTTGAACTTTATTTTTATCATTAAACACAATAAATCCTTCTGGCTTCTGCCTCAATCAATAACCTACCATTCTAAATGGTTCATTTTTCTCAAACAGGACTGGCATCTCTGGGAACGTACTACAGCTACAGCGGTGAAGCTGACAGAAGGGAGAAAAGGGGGAATTAAAATAGCAGTAGGTGCACCTTTATAAAATGTCAGTGTAAAAAATATGAATATTAGTTGAAGAAAGGTGAGGTTTTTTATGAAAGAGCAGTGCTGACCATCATTTCTGAAATTTCGTTGTGTGATAGTCAATCAATTTGCTATTTAAATACAATATTTCCACTGATTCCTCAGAATGTTTCATTTTGAGCAGCCCCACATTCGGGAAACATAAACAAGATTCAACGCTGCATTCAGGACAACTTGGAATTTGGAATTTTTCAATTAGGAGCTTCTTACTTCCCACATCAAGTATTCAAGCCACCTCAAATGTTTGAAGTAAAACAATAGACGCTCATAGTGCACTAGTGGTTTTGGCTGTTGAATGCTTATGAAAGGCTGTTGAAAGGTTTTTACACTGGAATTAAAAAGTTGTTTGGTTAGTTCTTTATTTATTGATGTCGGCCTTGGGAATTCACTAATATTACAGGGCAAAAATGACGTGCAGTTTGATCAAAAATCTTCCACAGACTGACTTAAACTCTCAATTATGCAAGTATTCCTGTGTATTCAGAGAAATCCTGCACAAACAGTGCATCATACACTAATAGAAACTTGGCTGTCGCTCAAAACATGGTGTTACTTCTTGTTCCATGGATGCTGCCATGTTAAAGGGATGTCACAAAATTGCAACATGGAGAAGTTGGAGCTCTTGAGAAACTCTGACTTTCCAAGCAGGAAGTTGGAGAGCCGTTCGAATGGATCTTTCCCACTTGGTAACTGGAAAGTTCCCGGTTCCAACATTGTCAAGAACACTGCATTAGTACAGAACCTTTACATTACGCAGAGGTTCTTTAAAAAAGAAAATTCTTTACACTTTACAAAAATGGTTCTAAAAAAACATCCATTGAAATGCTTTTCATGGAACCAAAAATGGTTCTTCTGTGGCATCTCCAAAGAACCATCTTGTCACTGTTAAGAATGTATGTCGTACATTTGTCCTATGTCACATTCTAGACAACATGGGTTTAAGAGCTTTGCTCAAAGGCCACAAACAGAAGGTGGGTTGATGGCATGTATGTTGACTCATTTATGACTCGTTCACACATGCTTACCTCCAGGTGCCTGCCGGCTGTGGGGTGTCTTCGAGTCTTCACTGCATAAAGATGAAACCCAGTGTTCTGCTCACTGGGGGTACAAGACCAAAGACAACCCACATCTCCAGTATGAGACCTGAATTTTTTGATAAGTTGGTTTGATAAGTTGGAGCACACAAAGAAGCCCCAGTTGTGCCACATTTAAAAAACATGATCAAAAACACAATTTACAGCGCTTTTTATTCAACATTTCACATGCTGTGCTTCTCTGAACCCAATTAAACAGGACCCATTCTGCTCTCTTTGTAATGAAACATGCAGGTGGTTTGTGTTCTTTAAGTACTGATTCGAACTGGACAATTTTTCAATATTCACAATACTTAAGACATTTTCATGATACATGACGTATGTCAAGATATTCAGTTTTTCTGAGATTTAATCAGTTAAAAGAGACAAAATAGAACCTGTAGTGAAATGTGAAAATGAGTAATTATTATAACAAATATAATAATAATAAACCTACAAGAACAATGATTTTTATTCAATGTTCTACAAACTGTGCTGCGCTGACTCCAATTAAACAGGCTTAATTATACTCACTTTGTACTAAAACATATTTAGTCATTATTCTTTAAATACGCTCAGGAAAGCATACTTTATCATCATTTATCACAATAATTCACAGTCTTATTGCCCACTCCTAATGAAAATATCCACAATGTACTCAAAAAATCATACTGTGACATAACGTGAAAAAATTAATCACAATATCTATAAATATCATCATATTGCTCATCTTGACTAGTATTATACAATTCTCAGATAGAAATGCAAATTGAAAGCCCTCATACCTAGCCTCTTATTGACCAGGGTATATTTTGATTTGTCCATCTGAATTTACCTGACCAAATCGTAAGGCAAATTATTCAGTAACTGCATGAAATAAATGTGAATATTATTTTACTTATTTATTTTTTGTAAAAGTTCCCCTCAGATTAACAGAACATGTGTTTTATGATCACACATATTGCTATATGCTTACAATTTACTGCTGAAAGCCAAAAATCTTAGACGCTCTTTGTATTATTTATAAAAATAATTTTTACAGAGCAGATCGCTGAAGAGATGCCATCTGTTTATAGTTTATAACGCAGATTTGTGGAAAAATAGGTCAACTTTCAGTAGAAAAAAAACTTCTTTTATTATAAGGGTTTAAAACTACATTACCCATCTATTTGACTGGAAAGAGGACAGTTACAGCTCTCATCTGACACCCACCTTTTGAATGTAGCTTATGAAATATGAAAGTTATGAAGAATATGACACATTGCGTTATGGAACCACTGGTGGTCTCAAGGATTTGAAGAGGCTAGTCTAAGAAGTTTGCTAGATATCTGCTATGCTAACTTGCCATATCTGGTCTCACTTTAGATTCTACGTCACTTTAAGCTCATTTGCTATCAGGAAGATCTGATTTGATAATGTAAATCCTAAAGCAATGATTTGGCCAAAAAGTCTCATTTTTGTCTTGTTGTAAATGTACCTGATCCAGCAAGACACAGCTTTTATCTGTACAGCATCCTTTTGTCTGTATTTTAGATCAGACAGTTTAAAGAGATCTTTTCAGCTTTCAAGGAACCCGAATTTGCTTTATGCCCTGGCCACAAACTGGACATTGTGTATGGGGATC